TCCTTACTGTCAACCATACAGTTCTTATAGTGTTAGTTCAGAGAATGTAGTATTAGATCAACTTATTTTACCCAAATTTATATTTTTCTTTATTCTCATCACATGTCTGCTTGATATTGTATTGATATTGTAAGGAGAAATTCTGTCTTGGTCACTCATGGGAGTTAAAGGGTCAAGATAATGAACACTTATTTCCTCTGCTATCTGAAAAGTCCCGTCGGTCTGTTGTTATCAGGCCCTTCAAGTGAAAGGTAGCGGCAGATACAACCTTGCAAGGAAGTATTTTCTTTTGCATCTCCTCTTATCTCTCTTATTTACTCGCTCTTACCGTTCCAATCTTGTGACCAGTCTCCAGATAAGGAATAAAGTTGTCCAACACCACATTGCCTTCGTCGGTGACCTATCAAACAAAGGAAGACTTGTGTTTGAAGTCTTTTCAATTAAAAGAAAGGCAAACAATTCTTACAAAACTCTTTAACCACCCACACTTGTCCTTTTTTAATGAGCTTTTCATAACAGGGGCACCAGGACGCTTGAAGGCTGCGAGCGAGGATTTGGAGCTGCTACTTTAGCCCTGCAATAAGATGCGTTCTCAGGCTTAATGTGTAATTTCCGGTCTGATTGACTCCGTGACTTTGTTGAGAAACTCTACCAACCTCACTTTGAATAAAAACAATGAAAAATTTAAGAAATAGCCGACCCTACAAGTTTCTCCCGCCAAAGGCAATAAGTAGAGAGAAAGTGTCTCTACATAAGTTAAATCTTTTTTCAAATCTGACCGAATGCCGTTTCCTAGAGAGATTCATCTTGGAACTTAATGGTTTGGAAGATCATATGATTATATGATGGCTACGCATTTTCTCAGGTATATCATTATTGATAATGCAGAAACATTCAAAGAATACAATAGATTAAGCCGGACAGTTTAACTTTAAGCGGAGCAATAACCAACATGTCGAGCCCTTTTTATTAGATTTATATTTCAATCGGTTTTTTAAAGTCAACACAATCGTGATAAATTCCAAATTGTATCGCGTGCCGAACAGACCTTCCTGTAAAGGAGGTAAGTGTTCTAAAGAGACCGTGGTGCGTCGGTGGGAGAGAATAACAGGATGATTCAGTATTATCAACTGAGTTGATAATGTAAATTTGGTCATCGTAAAGAGTTTCAAAGCTGACGTTTCGAGCGTTAGCTATTCGTC